AAAGAATGTATCTTGATTTCAATCAGCAGATGGAGGCACCTCATACAAACTGTAATCAGTTTATAGATTTGGTGGAAGGATGTGTTAGAGGATTGGAGAAGCCACATGGTTATGGCATAGGAACATATTTGTATGTTAAAGGTAGGGTAGGTAAGTTTGAGAAACCGGCTCGAGATCGCTAGAATTTGAAAATACACAACCGCAGAAAATCTGCCACTTCCTTATAGAGCCCCTCCTCCAACACACACGAACGCGCACATGACCAAAGAGGGCACGAGATAAGTTTGTGCACAGATGGAAGGCTGACAGGCAGGTAGGCCATCCAGTTATTTTAGCCGGGCCGGCTCAGATGATTGGTCGTGCTTTTTACAGTACTACGGCTTCCACAGATGACATTTTTTTATGGATTTTTTGTCAAAGCACTTAAGATATTCATTGCTATCGGGATGTTAAGAGCATTCCATGGAATATAACAACAAGTGTATCTCGAGCCGGTTTCTCAAACTTACCTACCCCACCTTTAAGTTTAGGGTTATCATTCAATCAATACTTTTGTTATTGACAGTCTTGGCATGTGTCAGTAAAATCATAATTTCCTTTGTGTTGCTTCAAAAGGTCATTCAGTCTTATAATGCATTCAAACCTTTATTGACCCAGTAATTGCTCTGCAACGCTGGCATATATTTTACATATTGAAATAATTCCCTGGTACTGAAGAGAGCTCCTAATTTGAGTGTCCAACTGAGAAAATTGGTCAATCTTTTGTAGGACATCATGTTCAGCTTGTTGAACGATTCCCTGAAACAAGTTGGTGTGGCATAAAATATTTCCTGAAGACATTAGCAAAATCCGCTTTCTTTTACGATCTGGCTCTGTTTTCACCCTTCCACGCTTTCCAAATTCCAAGCTACAATGGAACTCCTAGAGTACAGACATCCAGGCCAATGTTGCATTCACATGCTCTTTGGATGGTCAAATTGACTGTCGTTTGTACGACTTTAGTATGTTTATCCTTAGCATGGAAACAACGATGCTACACATAAGCTTTTATTATTTGATTGCTCAGAAGGTTTTCAGTATTTTCAGTCAGGTGAACCATGAATGTTTGGTGTATCAAAATGTTAGACATCAATCGAGTTGTACTGACTTCGGGGGGTGTACATATGAATTCTCCCAGTCGGAACTAATTTCTCCAATTATTTCAACCCTCTCATGAATCTCTCAATTTTACCTAAAAAAGGGAAGCTTGTGTATCCCTGCAAATCAGACCAGCACAAAATATGTTTGGTTGCTTCAATGGCCCATGCTACAGTCTCCTTGATCTACTTGACAACTTGACCGCCTTTTATGTTGTTGACCTTCTTTTATACTGTGACCCGTTTTATATTGTTGACCTTCTTTTATATCATGACCTGTTTTATTATGTTCACCTTCTCTTAATATATATATATTTTTTAATTAGTGAGGGCCATCATCATTTTGGTGTATTATTGTTGAATATAATTGATATCAAATCAAATCAAATCAAATCAAATCAAGGTTTATTTATAAAGCACATTTAAAAGCGATTTTTGGTCGGGCCAAAGTGCTGTACATGTAATAACTACAATCACATAAAAACACATTTCTATAATCACAATAAAAGACAATAAATTACAACAGATATTTAAAAAGAAAACACAGGGTTAAAGTCAGGAGTCGTGCTCCGCTCTGACTAAAAGGCCAGGGAGAAGAAGTGTGTCTTAAGAGTAGATTTAAAAACCCCTAGGGTCTGGGCCGACCTCACATGGAGGGGCAGAGTGTTCCAGAGCCTCGGGCCAGCTGCTGCGAAGGCTCGGTGCCCTCGGATTTTGAGCCTGGTCTTGGGCACTATCAGCAACAGCTGGTCAGCAGACCTTAAAGCTCTTGTTGGGGTGTAGCGCTGGAGGAGTTCAGCTATATAGGCCGGAGCCAGCCCATTTAGTGCTTTAAGAAACAAATAAAAGGAGTTTAAAATCAATTCGGAACCGAATTGGAAGCCAGTGCAGTGAGGCCAGAATTGGGGTGATGTGGTCACGCTTTTTGTGGCCAGTGAGTAGACGTGCAGCTGCGTTCTGGACTAGCTGCAGGCGTTTAATTGACGCCTGGTCCATACCCACGTACAGAGCGTTGCAGTAGTCCAACCTCGAGGTAACAAAGGCATTAATAACCCTTTCCAGGTCCTCAAACGATAAAAGCGACTTAGTCTTGGCCAATAGTCGTATTTAAAAAAAGCAGGTTTTGACTACGCTGCTGACCTGCTTATCGATGCTGATATTCCCAGACTTTTTACAAAGATGTTTGCATACCTCACTTATCAGCCAGATACAGCTGACAGATTGCATCTTAAAACTGCTTTGAGATAACGATGTCTTCCCAAAAAACGTCCTAAACCGTAACAGTTAGCTTAGGTTTAAAGGATGGCATTCTCTCTCACATGACTGCTCACAAACTAACAAATAAAGCTGCTACTTTGCTTGTGGCTCCAGTATCAAATAAATCTTTGTGCAGTATAGCTTATCTTAGATGAACATCTTAATATTCTCTCCCTCAGCTGTCTTTACCTCTCAGCCTCCTCCTCCCTTAAGAAGTGTCTGCTCAGTGATTAGCAGCTTAAAATATACCATTGTGTGAACTTTACCCATTTTACAGCTCCCTAAACAGAATCGCTCCAACATATTAAAGCAGATACTGGCAGATGTGTAGTGGAGGAAGTGCAGAGCCCCCACTTTTCATTAGTTTATTAATAGTACCCACATCTGATACAGGCTATTTCAACTCATCAACCAATTATATATGCTTTCTTTATTGGTGGCCCAGAGCACTGGAGTGTGTATTTATTTATTGCCTCCCTTAACACACACTTTTGCACAGGCAGTTCCGTCTGGATTCACACCGGCTGCCTTTCAACATCATATGCATTCATCTTTAATTAAAAATCTAAACTTAGGTGTTTTTGCAGCTGAATATTTTATGTTCCCCGGGGAGACTGAAGAATGTTTAATTCATTTCCCATGACTAAGCCTGATTGTCATCACATTGTTTCCACCTTAGCAGAACTTCTCTGAATGTTATGTTTTTCGATTTGGAATTTAATTCATTTCACCAAGGTCCACCGAATACAATATTACCTTTATTAATGATCGTTGGTGATGTTTGTAGAAAATACACATTATTTACCTGGTTTGCTCAGAATTAGATTTTTAGATAACATGATTATTCCTCAACAATGCCATCACCTGCGGTCATAAAGGGGGAAGCAATGAAAAAAGAGCTTGAAGAGAGAATTTTAGGGTACTCATAATCACCAAAACGAATGTAAAAGATCCTGGACAGGTTGCACCAGATATTAACAGAGGTGGGAAGTAACTAAGTATATTTACTCAAGTACTGTACTTAGGTACAATTTGGAGATACTTGTACTCAACTTGAGTATTTCCAAGTTTTTTGTACTTTTACTCCACAACAATTCAGAGGTACATTGTGTACTTTTACTCCACTACATTTATTTTGTACCTTTAGTTACAGATGTGGATGAATGATGTGAAATATAATCAACACTTAAATCAGACTTTAGTTACACCTGGAGTAAATTCACAAGCTACCCTGCAGTATACAAAGTCATTCAAACTCGCTGCACCTTTACCTGCTTTGATAACACTCTAATGCATCAATAATGATCAAAACATATAATATATATTATTCTGAAATAGACCAATCTGCATAATGAATAATTTTGGTATTTGAAGTATATTTTGATGCTAATACTTTTGTACTTTTACTTGAGTAACATTTTAAATACAGAACTTTGACTTGTATCTGAGTTTTCCTACACTCTGGTTCTACGAGTACTTCTCCCACCTTTGGATGTTATTACATTTATCACACACATGACTCACTGAATCACCTACAATTAGCTAGTATTGATGTGATAAGTGATCGCTGTGGAGCGTAATTAGCACCATCAAATCAGCAGCAGTCAACTGAAAAGATGTCACTGTAGCAACTCAAGCTGTCACATAACTTCCAAAATAATTGTATATTAAATGTAATTGCCATTGGTAAATGTTACCTGTACTTTGGTTTGCTTATATGCTTAAATGTGTTAATAGGTGTTTCAGAGTTCAGGTAAAAAAAGTTGGAGGTATCCATGTTCATTTTTAACTGGCATAATGTTTTGTGATTTAAGTAATTTTTATGAGATGTACATTTTAAATTCTACAAGTTTCTCTTATGTTCAAGTGTCAGGTCATATACTACTTCTTCAGTTTTTAGTGCGGCAGTAGCTCGTTCTGTAGGGACTTGGGCCTGGGAAGCGAAGGATCACCGGTTTAAGTCCCCATCCGACCTCCAACCTGGCAGACCTTTTGTTCTGTGTGTGTATTTCGGGACTATGTGTGTAATTGTAAAATAACACCAGTGAAACACTGAATTTCCCCTCAGCGATTAATAAATGTGATCATAATCATTTTTCCACACGGCTCTAAACTCTCTTAACTCTCTACCCTCCCTCCCACCTCTCCTCCTAATGTCAGTATTTGTATATACGTATGTCTCTAAGTTTGATTATGTATGTGCATATATATATATATATATATATATATATATATATAAATAAATAAGAGGGTGTATAGGAGTTTATGTATGTGTATATATACGTATATGTATCTAGATATATATTTATTAGATATTTATATGTGTATTCCTCTGGATTGTGAGGAACAGCATTTCTCCCTGTCTGTATCTCATACACAGAAGATTGAAAATAAAGTTGACTTTGATCATCTTAAATAATATATTTTTTTAGAACAGATCTCACTAAAATATCACTATGTTTAAATCATAACAATGTAGAAACTACACCAATCGTGAGTGAATTATGTCCCAGCCCCATGCTGATTATGGGTTGTACAGAGTAATGATATTGAAGAGGCCTAAATGTATAAAAGACTCACAGATAAAACACACTCACAACTGCAAGCTTGAGTTCAGTACATTTAATTGTTAATTAATTCATTGCACATTTGCTCAAGTGCAGAGTCATACTCAATGTAAAGCTTTAAAAAATACAATCTCAGTCATCTCTGACGGGACGTGAGTGCTTCCATGTAGATTTAAAAAAAATAAAATACAGTATATGACGGATAAACCTTCTCTTTAGAGTCATGTTCTTTGATAAATCTGTAAAGTAAACACTGAGAAACCGGGCAGCATAACTGGTCAACGTCAAATATATTTTCATTCATAGTTAGGTAGTGTAACTTTCGACAAAATACATGTGCATTTCCCTTTTTCTGTGTAAACACCACTGTCTATTTTTTTTTTTGATTTGTAAAGTGTGACATACTATAATACCCTTTAGAGGCGAGCCTTCACATTAACTGTAGCATGAATAACCACCTTTCTCTTGGCACCTGAATTATCCTCAACATCACCCTTGAGACAGCAGCAGCACGTTATGCTCCACATCACAGACAATCTTCCGTTTTAGAAATAGCTCAACAGTTTTACAATACTTAACATTTTTTCCTCAAATTAAAAAAATAGTTTGGATCATCGACTGTACACAATACCAAAAACAATGTGCTTTTCCCCATATAGTGTATATTACTGAGTTCATATGCCCTCCAAGACTGTAGTAACAGTGTGCTCATCTCCCTTTTTCTCTTGAGCGGGGGTTGTAATCACAGGATGCGTCAAGGAGGCCTCTCTCCGTGAAACTTTCGGTGTCTGTACCTGCTGTTCTTTTCCTTGGCCACGTTGACACAGGCATTGTGCTTGTTGCTCTGCAAGTGATTCCAGTACTTGATGAGTTCATTGGGGTGGAACTGATGGGACGTAATCAGGTGGCTGTACTTACAACTGGAGTAAGACACCCGCCAATGGTTGAAGAGGAACTCGTTGGGAGGAGGGGCCGGGTCGATGCGCAGCTTGGCCAGGCAGATCCCCACGTAAACGTCCTCCAGGTGCAGCCTTCGTATGCTCAGGGACGCCTGGTAGATCAGATCGGCCATGTCCCCTGAGAACACATACCCCGTGCCCGAGCAGAATATCGGATAACGCTCGCTTGGGTACAGCTCGGGCGGCATGTACCACTTGCTGTCCTTGTTTCGGTTTGGTGCATAGCCCCTCATCAGGTAGCCGGTGAAGTACCTCTGTTTGGGAGGCAGCTCGGGCTTAAGCAACTTTTGGATGAGATACTCGGTATTGACAAACATGTCGCTGTCTGTCTTCATCACGTAGGAGGCGTGTGAGCAATAGGTGGCCACCCAGTTCATGCCCATCAGCGTTTTGATGGTCAGGTTGTAGTAAGTGTCCTGATAGTCCTGTTGGATGATGTCGTGGTGAACAAGGCTCTCTTCCTCTATGCTGCTCTGCAGGTAGGTGTCTGAGCTCTTTCCAGTGCCGAGCAGGAAAAGACGGACAAACCCTAAGCCCATTGAGTTGCTCTCATTCCCCCATGTCTGACGGATGGCGTTACGGGCATCGGCCTGTCCGGGTTCTGCAGCGATCAGGACGATGATGAAGGGCGTCCTGTCCCTGCACTTGAAAGGCTCGTTCAGGATGTAGCGGTAGGGCTGAGCACTGAGCCTCCCTCCCACACCCATCTCCTTCTGTAAACTGTTGTTGGTGCTCATGGAGTCCCCAAGTCCCATTACCCCCATCCTGGAAACCCCTCCGCCTCCTGCTGCTGCCTCCCCCGCAGCCCCATCTGCCTGCTGAGAGCTGAGGTTGAGAAGAGTCTTTGGTGCCACATACCCCGTGTCCCTCCACAGGCTCCGCAGGGAGCTGCTCTGGTTGGCTTCGCCTTTGGGGCTGCGTAAGCCCCTGACAGTGTAGGCCAGCGGGTTTTCCCGGGGCCCGCTGCGTCCCGGAAGCCAATCCTGATGGCTGAAAAATAAGAAAAGGGTGAAGAGTAGAGCCAGCGAGAGGAGGCCGGCCACATGGGTCCTGAAGAGCGACCGCTTGACGGTCCAGGTCATCTTGATGGGACAGCAGTGCCGCCGTCTCCACTGCATGGTGCAGATCGGGGTCGCAGGAAGCTGCTGCTGCTGCTGCTCGAGAATGGGCGGCGGCGGCGGCAGTCACTCACAGTCACCTCAAACATGTGGTTGCCAACTATCAGAGGGTTATCTGAGCTGGCAGATGGGTTGGAGTGAGCCTCCTGGTGGAGTCAGGGGAACGTTTGAGCCCCCCAGTGCAGCTTGCAGCAGGGTTAAAAGAGCTCCAAATGGAGCAAGGAAAGCAATGTTTCTCTGGCCATGAAGGCTTCTCCCTGGCTCTTCTTTGGAACTGTAGACAAACACAAGGTCATGCCCGATGTCTCGTCTCCTTCAGGATATGATAAGGGTCACCTCCTCTGTGTTTGCTGTCTCTAATCTGAAAAGAGAAAAAAAGGAACAGATACAAATGTTGGCATCGGTCTGAAAGAAACCTCAAATTGCTGGCACTGAGCCACATGTCAATGTCTGATTGTAGATGTGTTATTTATTCTACTTGCGGGGAGAACCGAGCATATTTCTTAATCATTTTATTTATGGTTTGTTTTGACAGAGACATTCTGAATTAATGTCTTCCAGATGCAAAAGCCCCAATTAGAGCTTTTCTGTGAATGCAGCAGCCACTATGGTGAATGGCTCTTTTGATAAGCTGACTTTACATTTTGAAAGGGAGAAGCTGAATCAATATGACAGCTTTGTTTGTAGCATCTTTGATTGGACGGGGACGTGAAACACAGCAGGCTCTGGGGATGTGATGGGAAAAATATATATGAGATTTAGAAAATACTGTTGCCAGCAGGGCAGTGGCAGAAGGGAAGATTACTGCTATAAATGTTACCTTGCATACAGTGCACCTGTATGGTGGAAAATAGGCTGCCACCTAATGTGTGCGTTATTGCTATCATACAACATAACACACGTTTTTTGCACCATTCTCACAGTAAATACAACATACTAAATGAGCATATTATGCTAGTACTTTTTTACAGTGAGTGAAAACAAGAGAATGTCTTAGATAAACACATCAAAGACTCTAAAAACAGTGAAGAATAGAAAATAGAATTCCTCATGGAAACTATGAGCTGGCTGTCTGGTGCTGAGCATGGGGAGACAGTGCCTCTTGCATGTCATTATTCAGCTTAATGCCTGGGGCAGAAGTATAAATTGCAGGTTTGCTCAACGTGTTGCCGGATAACGCTACACTGAGCCGCCTGTGTCATCAGCCCCCCACCGGGCGTCGACAGCTAGGGGAGGAGATGCAAAATGAGATTTTCAGGGTCCGGCAGGCAGTGGTGCCAGAGCCTCAGCCAGCCTCTGGCGATGACAGCCTTCACCTGCCATTCAACTTCCACCTTCGGCTTATCAACGCTGCCTACCGTCTAGATGAGACCACCCAGGCTGCTCGACCCTCTACCACAGGCGTAAATAAAAGATGTACACACAGAAACATGCAACGCTGAAGAAATGTGACATGAATGATGTCAGGGAGTTGTGCGCCAGGGGAAGCACAAAGGCGAGCAATCGGTTTGCACAAGCAAAACATCTACTGTGCATCGCAAATAATCATATGCGCACCAAATACTGCACGCATAATCATTTTTTGTGTTCACAGACACACTAACACAATGTAGATCAGACTTAATGATGTACACAAGCCTACTGCACACACAAGTCACTCTTGTGTCTATAGACCCACACAAAAGATGCATGTGCTCCTCAAACATAATTATATCCACACTAGAAACATACATCATTATTGCTGTGCATGAGAACACACACGCACGCCAGGAAAAAAAAAAAATGCCAGCAGTATCTTGCAGGTTGTACTTGATTTCTATATAGCAGCATTGCAAGTCTGAAAAATCCTTTCTTCCTGAGTTTGTTAATTTACTGACTGCCTGCGTTTGCGTTTTTGTTTATTTGTTTGCTTGCACTTTAATAAATTGCATCTACTGAACAACAAAGCATTATTTTTGTGCAAATGCTACATGCCGACTCGGTGTGAGGCAGATTTTCCAAACTTCCCATTTTCATTTCCTGCTATGTTTGCTCATTCATCATGACAACTTGCAAGGAACACGATAACCTTTTCAGGAAACTATGCCTACCCAGCGCAAGCAATTACAGGAGAATGAGAGGGGCCAGGGCCGGCTTTGTTTTAAAGGTTAACATACTTTACATCGAAGCATATCCAGCGCTTGAGAGATTTCTCCCGTCAACTAAATTAACATCTAGTTACGTGAGCTCTGATGAAGTGTGCACACACAGAGGGGCACATATACACATAAATACACATGCACACAAAGTTAAACACACACGACGGACATCCGTACCCACCCACACACTCACATAGAGAAGAGCATGAATGGTGGAGTGTATTACTTTGTTTTTGTTTTTCGCTTTCAACAAAAATGCCAATTTCACTGAGAGACCAGACATCCATTTTTACTTTTTAGCAGTTCCACTTAATCTGCCAATGCCTCTCCTCATTAATTCATTTTCCTGCCTCCCATCAATGTCACTTTTATGCAAGCCAATTAGTTACACTAGCACTAATTAAAGCCCCAGCGATTCTGCAGCGGTCAATAATCAGAACGAAGGCTGCGGGAGTGACATGCTAGGCATATATTATAGTGTTGTCTCTGTCACCACATCAGCTTTAAAGCTGGAGGAAGAAAACAAGGAGGGTGGGGGGGGACTGTGAGGTATAAATGCCATTTTCCACACTTTGATTTCTTTGTCTCCACGCCCATTTTAACAACCTATCTTGTTTTTGCCTCCACATTGTGTGTAATGAATGCAAAATGAGCTTGGCTGATGTCGAAGGGGATGTGACCTTCATTTAGTAAAGCGGTGCACTTAGTGACACATTTTCCTCAAGACAAATACAGCTACCATTTGGGAGCCGTTTAGACTGGCCGCTCTCTGGAGTAAGGGGTTAAATTCTGCTTTATTGAAACAGGCATGACTGATTATGTGGCTGACTGAGGTTTCCCGCCTTGAAGCATAACCTTAATACAACCACTATATTTATGATTCATTTGAATGTTTAACACTAGAACCGCCAGGGGTCGCTGTATACCTAAAACTGCCAACGGGTAAAATGTACCCGCTATTAGAATGCATTGATTTTCAAGGTACAATGTTCTTTTATTTATCATACTAGAACACAGGGTTAAGAGTGAGTTTTGATCGCACAGTGATGAAACTTATACCAATATTTTTATTTTATACTTCATGCCGATTGCATGAAGTATAAAAGATCGCTACCGTGAGTTATGTGCAAAGTGTCTCTCTATCTCTCTCTCTATCTATCTATCTATAACTATCTATCGATCTATCTATAACTATCTCTCTCTCTCTATCCCTCTATCTATCTATCTATCTATAAGGAACCGCAGTAAACAACAGGCATTGCTATAGCAACACGTCATGTTTATGTTTTCGCACAAGATCAATAGCGCGAAGATCACTGCATTTTCTATAAGGTAAATATTACCCGCTGGCGCTAATGGGTATAAATGGCCATTTTTTGGGCCATTTTTTCAATCTGACTTCATATTGACCATTTTTAACAACAGAGGGTGCTACATAACACACTTTCAGGAAAAGTCACGGACTGGGAGACTTGAATATTTTATTGAAAAAAAGTGACATACAATCAAAAAACAGCTGCGGGTAAAATGTACCCGTTGGCGGTTCTAGTGTTAAGTACGGTGCATGGCCATAATCAGGTTAAAGAAAAGTCCAGGCCACATGACAAAACCAACCAACCTTGATTCATAGATGAATTGGCTATACAATTTTGGGAATAGTAATGGAATATTCTGACATTGTATTATTATTACTTTTACTTAAGAATCAAAGAATTTCTTTCGCCACTGTTTTTCACTCAAGCACTTTTGGAATGTAGTGGCTGTATTCTCATCCTTAACATTAACATCAATCAATACTTCTATTTTATCAAAACTATGCAGCTGACAGCTTCATAGATTGTTTCAATTTCTTTCCTCTATAACCAAGGTTTGTAATTTGTGATACGAGGGTTGTATTGTCAATGGCAATTCAACAACCAAATGTTTGCTAGGAAGGGAAAACTAGATGGTTTCATGTTCTATTCAGCCCTAATTCTGTAGCCAACTGAGTATTGCACTCATAGGCCCAATCCCAAACCACGCCCTACACTACCCCTCCGTTTGCACGTTCGCGCGGAGGGTCCGCCATATTAAGTGCTGTTACAAACCAACGAGTGTGGAGGGGGAGTGGGTTATCAAGCCCTCAAACATCGAGTCTTCATCGGTGCTGACTGGAGACCGGTCTCTACCTGACCGGACTCAACGCTGTGTGTGTCCGTCAGGAAACACGCTGTTTACAAGTAGTTCCTGCAAACATCCACTGATAAATTGCGATGTTAACCTCTAGATAACCTCATATTTTTTTCATACTGTGTTTAGTCTAGAAAAAGGTAAAGTGTGCATTTTATTATAAAGTTGTGTATAAAGTCTGTTGCAAAAACTAAGAAGCTTATAAAAATCAGGTTTAAAACTAAAAGAGCTTTACAAAAAAGTAACACAATTAAAGGTGGGGTAGGTAAGTTTGAGAAACCGGCTCGAGATACACTTTTTATTATATTCCATGGAATGCTCTTGACATCCCGATAGCAATGAATATCTTGCTTTGACAAAAAATCCATAAAAAATGTCATCTGTGGAAGCCGTAGTACTGTAAAAAGCACGACCAATCATTTTAGCCGGCCCGGCTAAAATAACTGGATGGCCTACCTGCCTGTCAGCCTTCCATCTGTGCACAAACTTATCTCGTCCCCTCATTGGTCATGTGCGCGTTCGTGTGTGTTGGAGGAGGGGCTCTGTAAGGAAGTGGCAGATTTTCTCCGGCTGTGTATTTTCAAATTCTAGCGATCTCGAGCTGGTTTCTCCAAAATTACCTACCCCACCTTTAAAGATGTTTGGAGTTTTATTTTTGTTATTCATTTTAATTCTTTGTCAAAGAGATGCTGATTTGAAACCGTTGTTACATACAGTTACGGCATTTCCTGTTTCTGCCGGAGAGAGGGGAGTTTGTCCCAAAGCTTGCCGCTGTATTTACTCCCTCCATCTGACATGGGGGAGCCTCGTTGAGCTGCGAGTGTCACTCCACAGAAGCCTCGTCTCAATACCCCTCCTCGACTCCTCCTTTCCCTCACTCGCGTCCCTTCCTTGCGTCTTAGCTCCGCCTCCGTAAGATGCGAGCGAGAGACACGAGGAGGTGACGCGAGGACAGAGGAGTCCTCAGGTATTAATTGGGATGTCCTCGTTCACTCAAATGTCACTCTTAAACGACGTCTGTTAATGATGACATGTGCACAGCTGTATCCCCTCT